CTTTTTTCTACCCAGTGAGCCTAGAGCCTGTGGAGGTCATGTGTGGGCTGTCCCCACAGGCAGAAATTTGAGGCTTCCCTCTTCTCATGCCCCCGGCTGGTGACTGGCCCCAACCTCAGCCCCTCAGGGCCTTGGAGGAAAGTGGGCACCCAGCGAGGTACCTGTCCAGCTCACCCCTTCCTTGCACTCTGGATTTGCCCTGGACCTTCTTCAGTGGGGAGGTGAGCCTGGCCTGCCCTTCCTGTCCCCTCCTTGTCTCCCTAGCCATTTGTGCCCCAGGGGGACTTCCAGATCCTAGTCAGGAGTACAAGGCCCTTCGAGGCATGTGTCTTCATCTCCGTGTCTGCCTGGAGTGTGCCTGTGCCCATGTGTACGTTATGGCAATGGTGTCCCGTTTTTTTTTTTCATACCGGGGATCGAACTCAGGACCTTACTCTTTCAAGGCAGGCACTGGAACCACTGGGCTAAATCCCCGGCCCCCATATGCATACAGATACAGCGTGTCTGGGTATGCTCTGTGTGTTACAGGCAAGAGCTGGTAAGTGGGGGCATTTCTCTGTGTGTGCCCCTGAATGTCATCTGCACACACGTCCCTGTGGCTGCAGATAGGTGAGAATGTCCAACTGCAAGGGAAGCTCCCCATGGGTAACTGTGTTCTCATGTGTGCACATGTGTGTGGTTATTCTTGGAAAGGCCCAGACCCACCAACTCAGCCCACCTGGCTCCTCACAGAGGACCTCTTGTCCTTCAAAGAGCCGCCTCTCTGGGTCCTGCCATAAAGGGGCCTTTGTTCCCCCCTCAGGGTTACCTGGAGCCTTCTTTTTGGCAGAGCCAGGGGTGTGGCACCTGGGGGGCCCCGGGCCTGTGCCCACTGTGGGCTGTGCCCTAACTGAGGTCCTTCCCCACCCTGTGCGGGTCCCTAGTCCTGCCGTTTGGGTCCTTCCAGATCCTCTGGCACCCTGGGCCGTGATACGCAGAGTGACGGCCTCCCACCACCATCTGACAGGCCCTTCAGCCCCCATCCTGCCCCAGCGCTCTCACTCCCTGGTGTCACTCTTTGACGAAGGCGTGGTTTTGTCCTGCTCTGTGATCCCACCACACTTGTGTGACTGTCCCCTGCCATGCTATGAGTTTCATCACCTTGGTGTGTCTCATCATTGTGGTGTCCACTACCTGAAGTGGGCTGAAGGTGACCTGGGACCTCCAATCCGCACCCCGCCGTACACAGTATCGTGCCACCACATTTGTTTCCTTGGCTCTCATTAGATTCTTAGGATAGTATAACCCCCTTGCAGTCTCAAAGAGCTTGGGAGAGGACGTTTCGGCTCAGGAGTCAGCACTGAGTACGTAGGGGCATTAAAGTTAGGTATGGAGTGGCCAGAGTAGGATTTGAGGTGGAGAGCAGGCCAGGTCAGGGTGTGGGGTGCCTCAAGGGCCAGCCTGAGGCCTGGGCTCTGTGAAAGGGCAGTGGGAATCCAGGAGACGCCCCACTGTGAGAAGAGTGGCTGGGGAGTGATAGCCCTGGAAGGAGAGGAGTAAGGGACAGCAGAACTCTGGGGAGTCTGAGGCAGAGCGGCCGTGGGCAGTGTTCGGTCCACAGGGGCTGAGAGAGGGGTTGAGAAGGAGAACAGTGTGGTGGCATTCCTGCTCTGGGAGACTTGGCTGTGGCCGGAGACCACAGGACAGGGCCAGGCACATGGGACGTAGGGTGGGCCACGGTGGAGGGGTGGAGCAGGTTTGCCAGCCCTTCCTTCCCCGCCTCCCGATCCCTTTGCTGTGCCATTTCCTGGGTTGTGAAACCCCTGTGGCCTCCTTGACCTTAGTTCCGTTGGAAGGCCATCTGGGAGGTGAGCCCCCTCCCTGCCTCCCCAGACCAGCAGCCCTTTTTCAGCTGTCAGGGCCAGCTCTGCTCCCATTGCTGAGCTTACCGATTCCCACTTTGCCCTGCCAGCCCTCCCCTCCTTCCCTCATGGCCTAGCACTGCATCCCCAGGAGGGCCCACTCTGCCGCCACCTGCTGTCCACTTATGCTTGGCAACAGGGGCAACTTCTGTGGATGAGGGCAGGGCCCAGGCCAAGGAGGGTCCGGTGTGGGCGGGAGAGGGCTGCATGGTAGAGGACCCCCCTGTTTCCCTGCTCCCCTGGGTCTGCCCCCCCAAGGGCTTCAGCCGATCTCCCCTTAAACCTATGCACATAGTCCCATGACAGCCTGGCCGTCTCCAGCCCCGTGTGTTTCTCTATCCAGGGCGTATCACCCTGGGGCCTGTGAGGCAGAATTGAACGCCAGGGGAGAGAGGGTGGAAGGGGCCAGAGGGCACCCTGTGCTGGACACTGGCCTCACTTTCCCCCTCTGTACAACAATGAGACGGCAGGTCAGCCTCTGAGGCCTATCTCTTGGAGACATTTTAGCTCTGTGTCTTTTTCTTCCACCTTTGACAAAACTGTTTCAAGCAAGTAACTTGTAGAAAAATAAGAAAATGCATTTCAGGTCCTGCTGGTATCCCAGCACACGCCTGCTCACTTGTGGATATGCACCTACACACTTGTCCTCTGGGGGCCACCCAGGGGAGCTCCCACAGTGCAGGCACTTTGGTCACCTTGAGGCTGGCTTCGCCCACCTCCCTGGACTGGCTGGAAACAGGTTTCTATTTGCCCTGGAGGAGGTGACCTGCCTGCTCTGGTCTGGCCTGACCCCTGCCTTTCTTTACCTCCAGGCTGCTGGTCTAGGGCAGGGTAGGGAGCTGGGCCAGTTCCCCGGGTTTTGGTGACTGGAGTTTAGTCTAGGTCAGAAGAGAAGATAGCAGTTCAGGGCATCCTCAAGGTTAAGCCTGGGACTCAGCCTGGAACAGGAGTTGGGATGAGTAAACACTGGTCACGCATAGCTCTTCTGCCCTTACCATAGTGTTCTCTGGCTCTGTGTGTTCTTTGTATCTGCTGTTCTTGGCGTATTTGTCTGCATCTTGACTCTTTCTCTCCCTTCATCTTTTCTTCCGACATAGTAGTGGAAAGAATATGAATTGCAGCATCAGGCAGGCCCAAATTCAAACTTAGTGGCTGTGTGACCTTGGCAAGTCACTTAACCTCTCTGAGCCTGGCTTTCTTCATCCGTAAAATATCCACCCCCTGGGGGCTACACAGGGACAAAGTGAGCTAGGGCTGTTAGCTAATCTGGCTAATCTGGTACACTGTCAGCTTCAGAAAAGGACTGTCCCTAAAAATGGAGGAGCTAAGATTCACACCTAGATCACTGGACCCTGAATCCAATGCTCTCAGCTTTAAAGTGCTGCGTCTCCTGTGGGCTGAAGAAGCAAGAGCAGAGAGGCTCATAGCCCAGAGGAAGGCCTGGCTGGTCCCCACGGGGGGCTGTGTGGGGTTCAGCCCTTGCTACCTCCTGACCCTGCAAAATCGTGATGAGTCTGGGGCTGAGCCAGTGGCCTTCCTTTGGGGCTGATGGGCCCGGGCTATTTGCATGGCTGCTATAAATAATAGGCAACCTTGCTTTGTGCAGATGCTTCACCCTTCATCTTTCCACTGCTACTCAGATGCTGCCAGGTAGGTGGGTGGGATCTAACTGCATTGTACAGAGAGGGCACCACGGCACCAGAGGCCCTGGACCTGTCAGGGTCCCACAGCCGTAGAAGCGGATGCCATCTCATGGTGTCTGTCTTCTTCCTGGGTCTAGATAGTCCAGTTGAGGGAAAAGTCTAGTTGAAGCATCAGACCAAATCCTTTGCCTTAGTTCTAGTCCTAGGAAGCTGGAGCTCAGTGATGTGGCCCCAGGGGTCCTGCCAGGTAACCTGGTGGTGTCCCACGAAGACCATGGATCCCCTGTGCTCATGGTACTATGGCCTGGCTATGCAGGTTTAGGGCTAGGGCCCCACCTACTGTGGTTGTGGTTTTCCTTCCAGTGGCTTCTGTGAGCAGCAGCTGCTGAGTGTGAGCCCAAGGGCAGGCCTGGGGGGCTGGCTGGTCCTGGGCCCTGCCTCATTCTCCCAAGGTTTCTCTACCCCTTCTCCCTGGCTCCCTGTGTGTATCTCCTGCTGGGCAGGCTGGGGGCAGAGTAAGCCATGGAGCCTGCAGGCATCAGGGCTGGGCCCCATGGAAAGGTGAAACAGAGAAGTTGATCAGCAGGTATACGGAGGGCTGAATGCCCTGTGTTCCTTCAGATTTGATTTTCCTGAGAAATGGTGGTAACCAGGACTGTCTCCCCAGACTTGGTGGGCAGATGGAAAAGAAGCATGTTGAAGACTGAAAAGAGGTGCATCGGTGAGAGGTGGCAGGAGGGGCAAGGTACCCTTTCTGCTTGGGGATTCAGGACCCCACCTGGTCGCCTACACACTCAAGGCCAGACCCAAGCAGCTTCTTTACTCCACCATCAGCTGAGCTCCTGCCGCATGCCACCACTGGCTTCCATGGCCTCATAGGTGCACACACTTCTGTGGGTGTGTAAGTCACACACTCGTAGACCCACCACACCCACGTGCACCCTCGTGCATGTTGCAGCCCAGAGAAGAGCCCACAGCGCCCACTGTTGGTGCTCCCTCTTTGCCCACCAGGAGAATGTGGGTGGCGAGCTTGGCACCCAGCATGCACTCAACTTCTGGTCTCAGGCCAGAGGCTTCGGGGCTGGGCATAGGCATGAGCTTGCACACCTACTGTCACTCCCACTGTAGGAACCAGGTCCTGGCAGGGGACATGGTGGGAACTGTCCTGGCCGGTTCCTTCTCGCTCTGACTGCTGGCCTCAGAGAACTGGCTTTTCCACAGGGCTGGGCTGCAGGCTGAGGTCAGTGTTTCCTGTGAGCTCATCTGGGCTGGGAGCTCCCAGCAGACCTGGCCACTGCTCTGGCTGCCTTGCACAGGAATGGAGGGAGCCCTTGCAGGAGCCGGGCAGCTATGGTATGCATGGGTGTGCACGCGTGCACGCGTGTGTGTGTGTGTGTGTGTGTGTGTGTGTGTGTGTGCGCGCGCGCGCACGAGCGCGCACAGGGAGCATCATTTACCGTGGTTATGGAGGACCCTTGTGTGTGGCTTGGGCCTGGAGCTAGTCTATGTAGGAGTAGGAGTGTGTGCATGTGGCTTGTACGCAAGGGTCCTCTACAAATGGCAACTCAGGAGGACACTTGGGATCACCTCCTGTAGTGACTCTTGACTTGGGAAGCAGCAAAGACGAGGGTGGCCTGGAAGCCGACTGGTGTGAATGTGTAAAGCACACTCAGTGTTACGTTCAGCATTAAAATACAGTTTCCTATTTGGGCAGAAAATCAGTTGAAAAGCGCAGGCAGCCTTCCAGGTAGCAGAAGGCATGTGCCACCAAGGGGCTTGATTTCAGGAGGGTGAGGAACACTGCTGTAGGCAGCCCCTCACCACTCCTGCTTCTGAAAGAGTGGGCACTAACTTAGTGGAATCTCAGCTTTCAGTTCTGGCTCAGCCTGTTTCAGTTTCCCCATCTGAAGTGTGTGCTGCTCATCTCGGGGCCCCACACGGCCCCCTGAGTAGTTATGAGCAAACAGAACCAAAAGGGCTGCATGGGGCAGGAGGAAGTGGGGAACTGTGCTGCCCCTCTTGGTAGGTGACTGCTGGCACTGAGGCATGGAAACCAGCACACGCTGGGCCCCTGGCACCTGGGGTAGGTACCCAGAAATTGGCTGCTGAGGAAGCCGCTGGGTGACTCCCCACATGAGAATCTTAGGGCCCCGTTTTAGAGAAGAGTGAAGACATGCCCTGGCCTGGGGTGGACTCTCAAAGGCTGTCCAGTGGGCCCCATGTCACGTCGGTTTTACTAGGGTTCCAGAAGTCCAAACTTACATAAAATTCCCCTGTCTGTAACGCTGGCCGCTAGGACAAGTGCTCTTCATGCGCCACATGGGCCAGATTCAACAGAGTGAGTGTGAGTGGCACCTGGGGACCTGAATGCCTGCCTGGCTGCCCTGCTGTGCTCCCCTGCTCTCTGGCTTCACCCCCTCTCTGTATACAACCCTGCTCTAGGCCCCACCATGGCGCCATTCCTGCGTATCGCCTTCAACTCCTACGAGCTGGGCTCCCAGCAGGCTGAGGATGAGGCAAGCCAGCCTTTCTGCGCTGTGAAGATGAAGGAGGCGCTCAGCACTGGTAGGGCTGGGGCTGCACCCTGGAGAGGGGTGTGGGGCTCAGTAGGCAGGGCTGGAGGGGCCTTCCTGTCCCTGGATCCTGTGAGGGATCCTTCTCTTCCTGTCTCCTGCCCTGCTCAAGGGTGGACTCAGGAAAGCAGAGGCCACCAAGTCTCTACGGGGTCTCACATCAAGCCCCTCAGGTCTTGGATTTCCTGCCCCATTGTCTGACCCTGCATTTTGCACATGTCCATCTGAACCCAGCTCTGTGCTGGGTGCTAAGGGTAAGACCGTGCCCAGAGACAGACTTGCCCTGCCCTCTTGGGCTCATACTCAGGCAGGGGAGCTGAACGTGTCAGCAAGCAGAGAGAGGTGTGGTGAGAGAGCCCGGAGAGGGCACTGCGCCAGTGGATGGTCGGGAGGACCTCTGCAAAGAGGCACCTCCACGTCTCCCTCGCGCTTCTGCCCTACCTGGCCGTCCTCTGCTCACCCCTTGGGTCCAGCCAGTGAGCCTACGGCTGGGCCAGGCACTGGCTTTGTCCTCTCAGTCTCGTCTCAGCCATGACTTAGTGGTTACTGAGGGAGGGCCTGGTTTATGGAGCTGAGAAGGACAGGCTCTGTGTGTAACTTTTACTTCTCCATGCTCCTCACCTCCAGCTGTGCTGGCATCTGGCAGCTCTCCGCATGTGTTCACTGAGTGAGTGCGTTGAGAAGGGGACATTTAAGTGGAGCTAGAACAGTGGTGGCGAACCTATGGGACTCGGGTTATTTGTTTTTCTTTGAAAACAAAAAGTGTTGCCGGGCGTGGTGGTGCACGCCTGTAATCCCAGCACTTGGGAGGCTGAGGCAGGAGGATCACTGTGAGTTCGAGACCAGCCTGGGCTACATAGTGAGTTCCAGGTCAGTCTCAACTACATAGTGAGACCCTGTCTCAAAAAACAAACAAACAAACAAAAAACAAAAAAACCAAAAAGTGCTAATGTATGAGTTGTTTTTTCTAAACTACAACCTCAGTATTCAGGTTCAATTGCGGTGCTGGTACTTTGAGCAAAACGAGTGAGTTTGGGGTTGCAGTTTGGGCACTCAGTCTCTAAAAGCTTCGCCATCACTGAGCTAGAACAAAAAACGTCTTGAGAGAGGGAAGGACAGGAGCAAAGACCTAGAGGTAGGACCAACAGAAGATCCTTGGGGCAGGCAAGGCAGGCAGATTCTGCTAGGCTGAAGGCCAGGAAGAAGAGACAGAGGGGCCCTGGCCTAACCTTGCCTTCCTGGCCCCGCTGCAGAGCGAGGGAAGACATTGGTGCAGAAGAAGCCAACCATGTATCCTGAGTGGAAGTCCACGTTTGACGCCCACATCTATGAGGGCCGCGTCATCCAGATCGTGCTGATGCGGGCAGCCGAGGAGCCCGTGTCCGAGGTGACCGTGGGTGTGTCCGTGCTGGCCGAGCGCTGCAAGAAGAACAACGGCAAGGCTGAGTTCTGGGTGAGGGGCACAGCAGGCAGGGGCTGCGGGGCGGGCAGCACACGGCTCAGATCCTGGCTCTGAGCTTCCAGGTCCTCGGCATCTTTGAGCCTCTTTGTGCTTGCTCCTAAACAAAAAGAGGCTACCGAAAGCCCTCCCTCGGGGTCTGTTGTTAGATGAAACAGGCCCGTGCATGTCGAGGGCTTTTTGTAGAACCTGACACGCACTGGTGCTAAAGGGAGCCATCTGCATTGTTGCAACTACTTTTGCCCCTTTAATTTGGAAAAGGCAAGATATCACATAATAAAATATTCCCAACTACATGAAAGGCTGTGTGCCTGCCCCAGCACCGGGCCCTCTTCTCAGAGGTACTGATTATTTGGAATCTTGCCTGATGTTCCAGGCCTAGGCAGGCATGCGAAATAACATCCTGATCTTTAAGAGGTGGGAGAAGGGAAGGTTGGCTGCCCTGCCCACTCACCTGCTGAAACCAGGACTCTGCACATACCTGTGGCCACGTGGCCATGTGTGTCTGTGTGTCTGTGGTGAGCCCTAGGGAACCACAGGACACCAGCACTGACAGAACCCCCAAGGTTACCTGTGGGTCTCTTGTGACCATCGGAGGCTCTGATCAGCCTCAGTGATCTGATCAGCCTTGGAGAGCTGCACACCAGGCGACCCTGAGGCTTGGGCAGTCGCACAGGGGTCCCTGGCTGTGTACTCTGTCGGTCACAGGTCTGGGTCCTGGGAGGTCAGGGGCAGGGTGGGGACTTTCCCTTCCTGTTCTGTGCCTAGGCCATATGGCCTGGCGGGTGTGGGCTGGACCCTTTCACTTCCCCAATGTAATAATCCCCCTGGGCGCTGGGTGGGGGCGGGGCTGTGGGCGGGGCCCTGCCCGTACTGGGCAGGTAGGTGTCTGGCCAGGCTTTGAGGGCTTCCTTGGCCTTGGGGGGCAGCATGGGGGCGGGTTCTGTGTCTGGTCAGGCCCAGGCCCGCCCTTGCCCTAGCTGACTTGTTCCCCTCCTACCCTCACAGCTGGACCTGCAGCCCGAGGCCAAGGTGTTGATGTCTGTACAGTACTTCCTGGAGGACGGAGGTAAGTCCCCACAGGGCTCACCCTGGAAGGGCCTGCAGGGGTGCTGCCCTCCTGACACGTGGGCTGATGCACTTCTCCAACATTCCTCAGACTGCAAACAGTCTCTTCGCAGTGAGGAGGACGCCAAGTTCCCCACCATGAACCGGCGCGGAGCCATCAAGCAGGCCAAGATCCACTACATCAAGAACCACGAGTTCATCGCCACCTTCTTTGGGCAGCCTACCTTCTGTTCCGTGTGCAAAGAGTTTGTCTGGTGAGAGCTGGGGTGCCCACTGCAGGTGGTTTAGGGTGCCAGGCCCAGCCCGGAGCTCTCCTCGCTCACCCTGCCTGGTGCTTTCCTTTCAGGGGCCTCAACAAGCAAGGCTACAAATGCAGGCGTAAGTACCTTGGAGGCCCTGGCTTGGTGGGACCGTCTGGGAGGGGCCCGATGCCTCCCCACCCGGAGGCCTCATGGGGGTGGTGGCTATGTCAGTTGAGTGCCCTGTGCGCAGGCCCCAGACAGGCTGTGCGGAGTGTACACCGAAATCGGCCCATGCTGCCATCGGGGCTCTCTTCCCTAGCTCCCCCTGGCCACACATGCGAGGGTGTGTTTTTGTGGTCCCTGGCACACGGCTGTAAGCACCCCTTCTCTTGGCGGTGTGTGTGCTGCAGGCTCCATGGCTAGTGTTCTGAGCAGTCTCCCTACCACTTCCCGGCCGCAGGGCCTTTGCTAGGCTATTTTAGCCTGCTGAGCCTCAGTTTCCTTGTCCATACACGAGGGTCAGTTGAGTCAGTGTGAAGACACAGTGGATTTGTGAAGCTGTATTTTAAGTGCCTAAGAGTTAAAGCACTGAACTGTGATAGGAATCCAGTGTAAGCGGTTAGCGTCTTTGTGTGTGTGTATGGTGTCTTTGTACTGGGGTATGTTGGGTGCATGTGTTCGAGTGAGTGTAGGAGATACTTGCTCTCCTGGGATATAGAAGTGCAAAGGGAGGAGCTCAGCTGAGGTAGTGCACATCTATAATCACAGTACTCCGGGAGGCTGAGGCCAGAGAATTGCAAGTTTGAGCCCAGCCTGGGCAACTTAGTGACTTAATGAGACACTGTCTCAAAGACATAAACAAAGGCTGTAACTCAGTGCAAAGGGCCCTGGGTTCAGTCCTCAGTACCACAGAAAGAGGCAGGAAGGCTCTCTTACCCGTTTGCATGCCTCACCCCTGCCTACCGCCCTGCCACTAGTACTCCGTGTTCCTTCCCTGTTTCTGAAACTCCGCCACTGGCCCGTCTCCCTTGTGCCATCTTCTTGGCTCCCCCTTGAAGGCCAGCAGGACGGGGGACGAATCAAGCCCCGGGCCAAGGCCTCTGTGGGCAAGGGTGTGGGCCCGGTCAGGGAGAAGGCTGACTGTGTGGAGGGCTGGACGGGCCAGCGGGCGTGACTCACAGCTTCTGCCCTTCCCCATGCGCCCCTCCTCCTCCTGGCCTGCTCTCCGCCAAGAATGCAACGCTGCCATCCACAAGAAATGCATCGACAAGATCATCGGCCGGTGCACTGGCACTGCCACTAACAGCCGGGACACCATAGTGAGCTGGGCCAGGGCAGGGCCTGGGGAGGGGCCTGGGCTCCCCTCCCTCCCCGTCTGAGGCTTCTTTGCCTCCTGCCTCGGCTCCCTGGCCTCTTGCAATGCATGGGCTTTGGGAGAGTTAGGGGTCCCTGCTGGCCGTGACCCCTGACCTGCGATCCCCTCCCCTCCAGTTCCAGAAAGAGCGCTTCAACATTGACATGCCGCATCGGTTCAAGGTTTACAACTACATGAGCCCCACCTTCTGTGACCACTGCGGCAGCCTGCTGTGGGGGCTGGTGAAGCAGGGCTTGAAGTGTGAGGGTATGTGAGCCCCAGTACCCCGTGCCGCGCCCCCAGGAGCTCCACATGGGGATTTACCTGCGCCTGGCTGGCACACAGCTGCATGCCTCTGAGCTGTGTCCTCAAGTTTAAGATGGGGAGAAGTGGGACCCCGACAATCAGTGCGAGGGGCAGTGGGCAGCAGGTATTCAGCAGAGGCAGCTGCAGACCTCCCCTTACCGAGGAGGCCAGAGGCCCTGGGGGAAAGTGGCTTGTCTGGTTGTCCCAGCAGGCTTTCAAGGGTTTATGTTAGGTCCCATATCTTCTGATTTTTTCTCAAAAGACAGGAATCTAGGAGTCCCTAGAGGTCCCCTTTCTCCTGCCCACCTCCCTACCCTTCCTTGGCCTTAGATGAGCCCTGATGCTGACCCCCACTTCTCCCTCTCCCAGACTGTGGCATGAACGTGCACCACAAGTGCCGGGAGAAGGTGGCCAACCTCTGTGGCATCAACCAGAAGCTCTTGTCCGAGGCCTTGAACCAAGTCAGCCAGGTGGGCAGCGGCTGCGGACCCTGGACACGAGTCGGGTGGTCAGGGCTGCCCACACTCTTGGGGAACCTCAGAATGGGGATTTATACCCAGGCCCCATTTCTGGAAGAGCTGATTGAAATATTTAGGGAACAGAGGGAGGTGGGTTTGCTCTCCTGAGAAGCCTGTTATAGAAGCCGTCCTTTACCTGCAGTGAACCTGATAGCCTGTTATAGAAGCCGTCCTTTACGCGCAGTGAACCTGAAGGGTAGCAGGTTGGCTGTTGGAACACTTTGAACTAAGAGCCTCTGTGTGTGTGTGTGTGTGTGTATGGATTGCCATAAGGAACACTTTGAACTAAGAGCCTCTGTGTGTGTGTGTGTGTGTGTGTGTGTGTGTATGGATTGCCATAATACTTCGGGGTAAATTTTTAGGATCGATCAGAAATAAAGTCAATGCAAAGCTTTATTAAGTGGTTAAGAAGGTGAGATTCAATTTACAAGACTTCTACAAACTTCGATGTATAGTCGGTGCCTTCCAGGACATCGGGGCTTCCCTGGGCTTTATTGGGGGGCAACACACACATCACCTGTGGGGTTATGGCTGGGGCTCCTCTTCCTGGGCTGGGAGCTCTGATCATGGTCTGATATCCGGCCCCCTTGCCTCTGTTGCCTGTCCAGAGATCTTCCCGGAAGCAGGACTCGGGGCCTTCGGAGCCTGTCGGTATATACCAGGGTTTTGAGAAGAAGCCAGGAGTTGTTGGGGACGACGCTCCAGGTGAAGCTGAGTCCAATTCCCCCACTAAAGCTCCCATTTCTGATCAGGGCACAGACAAGGGCCTATTGAGTGAGTGCTGGGATGAAGTGGCACCTGGGGGAGCAGGCCCTGTCCCTTCCCAAGCCTCCTTTGCCCACCGATCCCGAGGCTCTGGGGAAAGGAGTCATGGCCACTGACACCTTAGTCAGAGGCGCTTTCTCTTGAGCAGACAATGGGACCTACGGCAAGATCTGGGAGGGCAGCACCAGGTGCAGGATTGAGAACTTCACCTTCCACAAAGTCCTGGGCAAAGGCAGCTTTGGGAAGGTGAGCGGCTGTGAGGCTCAGGGGCTCGGGCGGCCCAGGTGCCTGCTTCCTGCTGCACCCTGGCTGCTTGCTGATGGTGGCAGGTGTGAGCAGCTGCGGGGGGCATGGCCTTTGCCCGGTCCTGCCTGCTCAGCCTCTTACCCTCCGGCAGGTACTGCTTGCCGAGCTGAAGAGCAAAGGCCAGTTCTTCGCCGTCAAGGCCCTCAAGAAGGACGTGGTGCTGATCGACGACGACGTGGAGTGCACCATGGTGGAGAAGCGGGTGCTGGCGCTCGCCTGGGAGAACCCCTTTCTCACCCACCTCTTCTGCACCTTCCAGACCAAGGTGCCTGGCCTCCTCTGTCCCTGCCCGTGTGCCACGGTCCCCCTCTGAGTCGCCAAGGCAGGCCGTGTCTGCCCCATTCCCCAGGGAGAGTTGTCCCCTCATCCTGGCCCGATCCTGCGGCTTCCTGTGGGGCTTTGCCGCCTCCACTCACTGCCTGCCTGCCCTAGGAGCACCTGTTCTTCGTGATGGAGTTCCTCAACGGTGGGGACCTGATGTACCACATCCAGGACAAAGGCCGCTTCGAGCTCTACCGTGCCACGTACGCGAGGGCCCCCTTTTCTCCTCCTCTTCCTGGAGAAGCTAGCCCAGGCCAGGGCTGGACTTGGGGAGGCAGGGGTGACCTGGGCCTCCACTGTGTAGGGAGTTGGGGTGATGCATGAGCTCCAGCTCAGGGAGCCGTGCGGATGCGCTGGTCCTGTCCATCTGTGGCTCATGGCGCTGCATAACAGCAGAGCCCAGCGCGTGGCCACAGCCTGGCATTGTGGCGCTGACCGTGTGTGCAGTGCATATACAAGTCATGTACTCACGACGGCATCAGCTTACTTGGAGCTTTCCCTTCGGAATGTTCTTCCTGGACCGCCAGCCCCTACTTGCCTGATACAAGGTGTGGTTGCCCAGGCCAGGCTAGTCACAGCGTTTCCTGCCCCTGGTCATGGGGTAGGGGAAAGCCACCAATGGGCAGAAGTTCTGGAACTCATTCTCTCTCTCTCTCTCTCTCTCTCTCTCTCTCTCTCTGTCTCAGGTTTTACGCAGCTGAGATCATCTGTGGATTGCAGTTTTTACACAGCAAAGGAATCATTTACAGGTATAGGAGCAGGGGCTGCAGGGGCTCTTGGGAGGGGTGGCACCAGCCCTGCAGTCTGACATGCTCCGAGGGAGCCAGGCCCAGCTCTGCCTCCATTGCTGCTTAGAGTGAGTCCTTAGGTGGGTATTTCCCTAAAGCCCCACCACAGTGCAGCTGAGACTGCCCTGGCTCAGGACAGCACTGACCGCGACCTGTCCCCCATCTGTAAACTGTCTACTCAAAGGACTAGTGACACCAATCGATGTGATCCCTGCCCTGTGGGAGCAGACAGGTTTGAGCCCAGGGGGTCTGCTGCTGGCAAGTGGGGTGACAGGCGAGTGACACTATCTCTTCTGAGGCTCCCTTTCGGCTTCGGGGGGTAGGGCATTACATGTCCAGTGCTCAGTGCACTGGAGGCCCCTTAGAGGAAGGGCTGGTGTCACTTCCTTCCCCTCCCGCTGCCCTCTCTCGTGCTCTGAGAAACAGACACGTGGGCACAGGGCTAGCTGGAGGAGTGGCCTCGTCTCTGAGGTCCTCTATCCTCTCCCCAGGGACCTCAAGCTGGATAATGTGATGCTGGACCGGGAGGGCCACATCAAGATAGCTGACTTTGGGATGTGCAAGGAGAACATATTTGGGGAAAACCGAGCCAGCACTTTCTGCGGGACCCCTGACTACATCGCCCCTGAGGTGAGTGAGCCAGCCAGGCCAGGCAGGGCATCCGAGGATGAAGGGGCCCGGTCCAGCCCCGGTCCAGTGCTGATTGTCACTTCCTTCCAGATCCTGCAGGGCCTGAAGTACACGTTCTCTGTGGACTGGTGGTCCTTTGGGGTCCTCCTCTACGAGATGCTCATTGGTCAGTCCCCCTTCCATGGTGACGATGAGGATGAACTCTTCGAGTCCATCCGTGTGGACACGCCACATTATCCCCGCTGGATCACCAAGGAGTCCAAGGACATCCTGGAGAAGGTGAGAGCCCTGGGCCGGGTGGGGCCAGGCCTGGTGCAGCTGCTCTGCAGGAGGGCAGTGGCCATTTGTCCCTGGCACATTGAGGACATTGTATCCCCGCCAGATGCCCAGGGTCTCCCACCTGGTGTGGTAGACAGACCTGAGGCTCTGCCTGCAACTGCCTGGTGACCTTGAGCAGATCATTTACCCCTCCCTGTCTGAGTCTGTCTTCTCCGCGGAACAGGATTGAGAGAACTGTCTCCGAGTTGTTGGGAAATAAATACAAACCTGTGATGCTCTGTTCAGTGGCAGGCAGATAGTAAATCTTAAGGGCACTGGGAGCACAGCAGGCTGGACAGCGCCCCTTGCAGTCCCCCAGGCTGCATCCCAGGATGGCGGGGGGCAGTTTGCTCATGGCCCTTGCCAGCTAACCTGTGCCTCTGCTGGGTTGCAGCTCTTTGAAAGGGACCCAGTCAAGAGGCTGGGAATGACAGGAAACATCAAAATCCACCCCTTCTTCAAGACCATCAACTGGATTCTGCTGGAGAAGCGGAAAGTGGAGCCGCCCTTCAGGCCCAAAGTGGTATGTGATTCCCACCTCCAAGCGCTTGGACATGGCCCTGCTGGTCTCCAGCACCATTCACACACTTCCGAGTCCCTCCCAGCACACTTCGTCCCGATCGATCCCCCAGCATGCTCAGTCTCCACCCTGTGTGTCATCCTCTGTCCTTCCTCATTCAAGAAACACTGGCACTAGTGATGCAGCCCCCACTGTTTTGTTTTGGACTTTTTTTTCGAGAGGGATGGGATCTTGCTCTGTTGCCCAGGCTGGTCTTGAACGCTGGGCTCAAGCGACCCTCCCACCTCGGCCTCCCAGGTGCCAGGACAACAGGTGCAAGCCGCAGTGCCCAGCCCGCAAGCACCTCTGTACTGCATTTCTCTGGCACACACTGTGCAGGGGACAGTGCTTGGGGCATCAGATTGAAGCCTCAGCTCCTCTCCTCACCCGCCAGTCCATGTTTCAGTGTGTGTTGGAAATGTGGGGGTGCTGTGTGGGACTGCCTGGTGCATGGGGAACAGTCTCAGGGTGCAGGGGCCCAGACGGGAGACTCTGGTGAGAGCTGGAGTACAAGGCGACAGTATGAGCTGTCCCAGGCCACCTGCGATCATTTGCATGGGAGGCAGGGAATGGAGCGGTGTGAGAGGCCCCTTCGGAAGCAGGGATGGGGTGGATGAGGCCAGGGGAGGGCAGCCCAGGGGCACCCCACGAAAGCCCAGAATCCGGAAGCCTCCCGGGACAAGTGTGAGAGGAGGCAGGCTGGAGCCACTGAGGCCGTGAGACTCAGGGCCCTCTGCAATGACAGTTCCCCTTCCCACTCCCTCTCCCCGCTGCTTCCCCTCACCTGCCATATAGTTCCCTTCCGCAAGCCTCTGTAATGTGCCCTACATTTGTGCTTTGAGGGCGCAGAGCACTTCCATTACTGGGCCTCCCAAGTGGGCAAAGCATTAGCAGCCAGCCTGGCTGCGAAAAGAACACCTAGCACCCGGGCTCTTGCTGCCCAGATTGCTTTCTCCCTGTGCACTGAGCATCGTAAGGTAGGAGCGATGACCAGCAGCCCCTCCAGGTCCAGGGGGACCTGTGGCAAGTGAGCCCAGGCCTGCAGTGCAGCTCAGTTGCTGACTGATTGCCTAGCATACACAAGGCCCTGGGTTTGATCCCTTCACTGCAAAACAATAAATAACAGTGAAAATAAAAGACCTGCTTCCAGATGAGCATGGGTGGTACACACCTGTAATCCCAGCACTCTGGGAGGCTGAGGCGGGAGATAACGAGACTGGTCCCAGCCTGGGCAACTTGGCGACTTAATGACCTGGTCTGGAAATAAAACAAAAGGGCTGAAGGATATAGTTCAATGCAGAGGCCTTGGGTTCCATCCTCAGTGCCAAAAGCCAAACAAAACAAAAAAAGACCTCATTGCCACCCTTATCCCACTATACTCTGGTGCATGCAAGGCTGTGGTTTCTCTGAGCTCTGTTCCTCATCTCCAGGTAGGATAGTAGCGCCCACCTCTCAGAACCGAGGTGCAGTTAATAAGGTAATACGAGGAAGTGGGCCCAGGGCTACTCGAATCTGCTTTGAAGGAAGGCCAGAATCTGGGTTTTTATGTCATATTGCCAAGTTGGAAATATTCCCTCAAATCCCATCCAAAACCCGGTGCAGGGGGCAGGGTTAACTCAGTGGTAGAGCACTTGCCTGGCATTGCAAGGCCCTGGGTTCCATTCTGGGTGCCATTAAAAACAAAACTACCCCCCAGATCCAGTGCTGGGCCAAATGATTGTACCTGCAACTTCCTTCAGTTTGGGGTGAGAGCCGTCACCCCACGATCTCTGTTATTATCTTTCATATCCTGAGGAGCAGGGGAAACAACCGGTAGCAAATATTTTAGGCTTTGCAGGCCTTAAAGCAGCCATAGAGAAGATGTCAGCAGGTGGAGTAGTCATGAACTCATAAAACTTTATTTATGGGCACTGGGATTGGAAATATATAACATTTTTTTTGGTACTGGGGATTGACCTTGTGCTTGTGAGGACTGAGCTAAACCCCTGGCCCTGAACTTCATTTTTACAGGTCATGAAAGTCTTTTGATTTTTTTTTCCCCAGCCATTTAAAGATGTAAAAGTCTTGTTTAAGCATGGACAGGTGAGATTTGGCACACAAGCCCCTGCTCAGGAGGGGAGCAAGTCCACCTGCCCTTCACCCAGCCCACAGCACCCCGCTTACCCTCGTCCGCCGCACTGGGGTTGCTCTGGAGCTGCCAGGAGCGCCTCCTTTCCTGTTGTGCCTGGCCAGGCCGGCCCAGCCAGGACCCCAGGCCTGGATACCCACCAAGGCATTGGGAGCACAGTCCTGGGAAACTTGAGAGCTCTCCAGGACCCCACCTCAGTATCCACACACCCACCTCTGCTTGCAGAAATCTCCCGGAGACTACAACAACTTCGACCAGGAGTTCCTGAATGAGAAGCCGCGCCTGTCTCACAGCGATAAGAACCTCATCGACTCCATGGACCAGACGGCATTTGCAGGCTTCTCCTTTGTGAACCCCAAATTCGAGCACCTCCTGGAAGGCTGAGGCTGGCAGACCTGTCCTCCAAAGCCCTGGGTGCAGCGGGCTGACAGCCTTGGCGGCACCTGCCACTGCCCACTGGACTGCAGTGACAGCCCCGCCTCTGCTGCCTCCCTGCTCCGAGGGGCTCAGCTCCCACTGGCTGGGCTCTCACGGTACTTGCTCTGTGAACTGTGTGTGAATTCGCTTTCCTCTGGCCCAGAGGGAAACTGTAAATCCTGTGTTTCATTACTTGAATGTAGTTATCTATTGAAAATATATATTATATATATACATATATATATATAAAATAGGCTGTATATATTGCTCAGTAGAGAGAAAGCATGTGGGGGACTGGTGATATGTTGATACAACAACAACAACAAATATATATATATATATATATATATATATCTACTTTTTTTTATATATATATCTACCTACCTATACCTAAAAGGAGAAAGAAGGATCATAATCTGTTTGAACCGTCGGTTCTTTTATTTGTGTGTCTAAATAAATACTGAATGTACCAACCCGGCTGTGGGGACATTTGTCCCAGGAAGCTGGTGGTGGCTGCTCCCATGTCTGGCAGCTTTGCTGAGCTGTCAGTTGCAGGCTCAGACTCCTGGGCCTTCATGCAAATGTGTTTGTAATTATGGGTTTCCGTTGGCCCTAGGGCCCCAGGCCTAAAGTGGAAGCTTTTCTGGGGGGTCCTGATGCCCCTGTGTGGTGGGGGGAGGAGGCGAGGCCCGCAGCCATCTGTCTCTGGACACTGAGGGCCAGTCTTGAAATGCACAGAGTGGAAGGCCTGGCATAAAAGCACAAGTGAGGGTGTGGCCCCAAGCTAGGCAGGAGGACCAGAAGAGGAAGGAAATACAATTCAGCGTTTAGGCGTATCTGGATCGAAATCTGAGCGCAGCCGGAAGATAAGGGCGTATCAGTTATTTTAGGATCAGTGTCCTTGCCTGTAAAATGGAGACAGGCGACCCCACATCTCTTGCTGTTTGTCCTTCTGGCCACAGAGGAGTCTGTGTCTGTTCTAGGATCTAGCTTTCAGAAGCCCTTGCCTGTCTGGGGCGGGGTAAGAAATAGGAGAGAATGCTGAGCACCTCACTGGGTCCAGGAGCTCGCCTCACGTGCCAGTGGTGCGGGTGGGGGCCTGGCTCCAGGGCACAACAGAGTGGCCAGCGAGCCAGTGTGGCCAGGCAGTGCTGGGGCCTCCTGCTGTCCCATCTCTTCCCTCTGCTCCTGCCCTGCTGCGGCTGGCACAGGTGGGCCCTCTGGTCCCGCCCCAGTGTCAGGCACTGCTAGCACCCAGTTGGCTGTCCCAGCAGCTACCTGCCAGCGAGTTCATTCTTCTGGGCTGAGGTACTGATTTCCAGAGTTGGAGAGGGTGGCACGGTATGGGGCTGGGCCGACTAGGGAGGGGGCTGCAGGGATGGAAGCTCTGTCTTTTCAGGAAACACTGACTCCTGCATGTGTCGGGCCAGCCTTGAAACGTCACAGGTGATGCTTATCCCTCTGGTCTTGCAGGCAGGAGAGGCTGTGCTGGGAACACTGGGATTATGTGAGCCCAGAAGAGGTGGCTGGATTCCCCAGCCCCTGCCTCTGCCACAGCATGCACAGGGCTCAAGAACCCCTACAGGCCCTCCGAGACATGTTTAGAACAAAATGTGACTGGTGTTTGTGTTGCTGCCTCCCACCATCCTGCAGCTCCAAGACAGCCTTGCACACACAGTCCACTTTCCCTCTGCGTGGAATGGGGGAAGTCTCATCAGTCTGCTCTCCTGCAGGGTGATGGGTTCAAATCTCGACGTCCCTAATGATGCCAGTGAGCATCTTCACCTTCCTGAGCACTGACTTCCTCGTAGGTAAAACAGGGAGGACCATGCTCCCGCTGAGGACTATGAAGACTGAACGACACTTGCAAGTCTGTGGCACAGGCTCCCACGCAGTAGGTGCCACTGTGACTGCAGCCCTCAATAGGGTGGACTATACTCCTGCCGGTTCCAGTCCTTCCAGCTGGACCGTAGGAGGGCAACTAGCACGCACCTACTAACACCCCCGCAGCCACCTTCAGACAGCGACTGGAAGCCTTGCACACAGGCCCAGGAGGATTGCCAGGGTGCCTGCTGAGGTTTGGACTAGATGGGGAGAAATAAGTAAGCAGAAGGCTCAGCAGCTGGGCTCCCTGTTAAATACTTCCCTGGCATGGAAAGCCACGCAAGGCCAAGAGGTTGGAAAAAAGAACAAGCTAGAAAAACACTGTTTTCAGTGTGATTCCACTTGGTGGATCTATGTACCAGCTCCTGAGGGCACCAAGGGTCTGGGAGCACAGGGAAAGGCGCTAGAAAGCAAGTTAACACGAAGGAATGAATGGACGGACTGGTGGACCGACCAGCTCCAAGGGTCCCTAAGGCAGTGGCTCTCAAATTCCTCACGCAGTAGAGTGACAAGAAGGGCACGTGTGCCGAACTCTAACCAGCGCACTCAGCGCTGCTGTACACTGGAACTCGATTCCCAGGTTGTCCCTGTCTAATTACACGGTGATCTCTGGACTTCTCCTGTGCGAGGTCCAGAATGCATCAGACAGGACAGCCAGGTGGGCCAGGTCAGTGAATCTGCATATTGATCGGTCTTCTTGCTAACGTGGAGAAATCCTGCTCCGAATAGGTCACACCCTGGAAAAGAAGTCACCTACCAGTACCTGTAGGTAGGGGAGGCCCGAACCCCTGTGCCTGGAGCTCAGGCCATGTCCCCGGCGGAAGATTGACGGGTCCAGGGAGTGGGGCGGGGCGAAGCCGAGGCCCGGGCTGGCGGGGCTGCAGCGCCCTCT